TTCTACACTGAATGGCTCAAAAGGGAACTGGGTCCTCATCTCCTGAGTCAAAGCATAGAGATAATTAAATTTGACGCTTATTAGCAAAAGAATGGTGATATAGTAAGAAGACCCTAAAGGGTCAGGCATGATGATGGCACACATCTGTATTCCCAACTATTCCAGAGGTGAAGGTAGAGGATCATGGTCTGAAGCCTGCACAAGTACAAGCATGAGACCCTTGCTGGAAAACAAACTAAAAGGAAAAAAAAAATTGGGGGGTGTGGCTCAAATGGTAGAGTACACCACCACCACCAATCACCACCTAAAGGCATAAAATGAATAAGACTCACCAAACATGAGTACTCAGACTCTCATGCATTAGGTGTAAATAAAATGGAAACCAGGAATGACTTAACTTCTGTGCCTCATCTTTATCATCTATAACAAGTAATAGTGACATCCTCCTCCATTCAACATTTATATAATAAACCTACTGTGTGAGTACTATGAAAACTATAGGCAGAAGAAAATGGCATTTGAAGCTTAGAGCCTATTGAGTTCCACCTTTAAGTGAGATAATGCAAATACAATACGGAGCAGAGGCTGCAATTATCTCTAATATTGATGTGTCCTTTTCTTCCAAGGCATATAGCTAGACTACATTTCCCAACCTTCCTTGTTACTAGATATGGTCATGTGATTTTATTTTGGTCAATGGACTATGAACAGACAGAAATAGTAAGTACCTTTCCAGGCCTGGCCCATGCCTCATCTTCATTATCTTCTCTCATCAGCAAACTGGTAGAGAGGACTCTGGGAACCAAGAGAGGGGAGTCCAGCCATTGGATGGAAGAAAACTGGGTCTCTGCATAGAGCCTGCTCCCCTGCTAACCTGAACCTGGCTATGACGGAGCAATAAACAAGCAGCTGTTGTATGAAGCCACTGAGATTTGGGGGTTTATTTATTATAATAGATAACACAACTTTAAATAATCCAAATCTATGGCAAGATCTGGCCCATTATATGCACTAAATTAATAATTGACAAAATTATCATTTAAAAATATACAGCAAGTTATCTTGTTATACGTCTTATAGAATAAGTTGAGAGAGAAAGAGATAGACAGAGATGGAGGGGTGAGGAAGGAAGGAAGAAAGGGAGAAAAAAGTATTGAAGCCTTTTGTATAGCTTGTATACTCTTTCTACCTGAGAGTATTTGGTCATTCTCAATTCCTAGGGAAATATTTTCACCATTATCCACGTGGTTCCAAATACCAAATTGCCTCCATAGCCAAACAGAATTGCTGCACGGATCCGTGGTGCCCAGGGCCTCCTCCCTGCTCTTCTAGGCTGCAGCTGTCACTGGGCCTGGCTGCCTTCCCCCAGGGTCAGATCACCATAGCATGAGTTCTGGATGGGTGCCTGCTAACAGGGATGGAGTAGCACTTTGCCATGGTTTTACTGAAGCAGACATTAAAAGTAGAGAAAAGCTCACATGTGTTATAAGGTCTCAGGGTATGCAGAGACCCCTTGGCACAGAAAGATAGATGTTACCTCTGGGGCTAATTGTGGAGCAAGAGTTGGTGAACACCAGGCACACAATATGTAGACACACAACTCAGCCAGACGCTGGAGGGTAAGGGTTTCACTGCTCCAGTGGGTGAACTGCACTTCTACTCGCATTTAACGAGAGCCAGCTCTTAACTTTGAAGCTTCTAGATTACAGACATAAAACATGTTTGTTGTAGCAAGTTAAAGCTACACAGTGGTATAAAAAGAAATTAATTTTCTCCCTTGTCTTTTTAAATGATCCTCCTGACCCAAGAATTAGCATTAACAGTTTTTGGTGACTGCCCATCCTACTTATTCTATCAAAACCAACACATAATGGTAGAGTTAATTCCTCAACCTTTAACTTGTTTTTTTGTTTTTTGTTTTTTTGCAATGTAAATAAGACTATAAATATACATTCTTACTCAAACTGCTTTATTTCACCTAACAACTTACTATGAATCTCTGCCTACATGGGAATATATAGTATTAATTTATTCTTTTTAAATAGATGTGTAACATTGTCTGGAAAAAAGAGCTTTTACATGCTGGATTTCAAAACATTATCAATTTTAAGAGTTAATAATGGTGGTGGATTTATTTCTGGAGGAAAGTGAAATGGTAACTACATGTTAAGAAACATTCTTGAGTAAAAGGATGTCTTAGAAACTAGGAAATTCTTAAAAGTTTGTTGTGACAAAAAGTACTAAACTATTCCAAGATGAATCTGAAGTTAGTTCCCACTGGGAAAACTGGGGTTCTACTAGGTCTTTGTACCAGGAGTCCCCCTCTCCCCACTGTGCAGGCCTCCCCTCTAGGGAGTGGATTTGCCCTGAGCTGACATTCAGCATCTCTCCTGGTTGCTTTTTGCATGCACAGTTGTTTTGCCACCTCTTGGACCTGGTTCACCAAGGGAAGGAGGAAAGGAGAAAGGAAGGCGCTGCCGGTATTAGCAAGCAGATCACGCACAGTTCCTTTGTCCTAAGGTCAGATGGAATAAATCAATCAGCTTCTGCATCCAAAGTCCTTCAATGTGTCCTGGAGTCTTCCAGTCCATGTGTGCTCTGCCCATCTTTTAATCGCCTGTTAGAGTCAGCAGGAACAAATAGAACCAAAAGTTCCCTGGGGCAGTAAGCAGCTGCTCCCAGGAACCCATCCACTGTCTGGGGGGGGTGTTCTCTGTTCCCAGGGTCTTAGTGTTTTAGGTGGGAACAGCCAGCCCAGACTCTGAGGTCTAAGGCTACACACTGCTAAGGGAGATACCACTTTTGATCATTAGTATTACCAGACCTGTGCTGTGCACTTAACAAATAGCACTTCATCCTCCCAGAATTCTACAGATAGGAAGCTGGTTTCACAGAGCTGTGATTTGCCTAAGACTACCCAGTATTCGGATTAAATACAGCATAAAAGTGTGCATCCTCATTTAGCCTCACGGCCCAGCTATATCTGGAGATGTCCTCAATCCCCTGCAGTTCCCTTGTAGGTATCCTGCTGTGCTATCAACGAATTTATCTTTTTCAGGCCTCTGAGTCCAACAGACAGATCCTAGCCAGATCCTGCACAGCTAAATAGCTCCACAATAACCAAGAGTCAGCACTCCCAGTCTGTCTGCCCAAGCCTCCTAAATTGGTAAGCATAGTGCCTTTTAAGATCACTCATGCTGTATGACCAGAACAACAAGATTTTAGACATAAGTGGGCTCCTAAAGACCACCCTACCAAGCCCCTGTATCTTGTAGATGAGAACGCAAGCTATGGATATGTCTGGCTGGATGGTGAGAGTGGGAGGTTGGTGACAGGTGGCATGATGGAACAGTGGCTAAAAGGTGGGGTACACAGGGCTTGCAAACCACACCCATGGGTTAATTCAGTCCTCTGGGTTTGTTTTTATAAATAAAGTTGTACCGTAGCACAGGCACACACATTTGTGCATGACTGTCTCCCGCTGTTTTCACACTGTATCGGCATAGCTGAATAGTTGCAACAGAGACCATACGGCCCTCAATGTCTAAAACACTTCTTTACGGATGTTTGTTATGTCATATGTCATGATCAATTTAAGACTGGACATGTATCAAGAAATTATTATTAGTAAATCATGTGTACCTGAAGACAGCTAGATAGGAAGGAAAGAAAGAACTATTTAGCTTTTATTAAAATTTAAGCAGTTCTTCATCACTTGACCTACATTTCCCCAGAGTATCTGTGATGCTCAAAAGGTATTGGAAAAAAGGACAAAAGATAGCAAACTGGGTAAAGCTAACTTTCAGGAAGGGGTAGGATGAGTCACTTGGTTCTGTGATATGGGAGGGGCTTAGACAAAGGGGAAAAGTATTCCTGTAGAACAAACTATTGAGAATAGCCAACATGTGGTCCCATTCACAGGAGCCTCAGAGTGGCACAAGGAGCCAGGCTTGGGCACTCTCCCTGCTGTCCAGTCATGGCTGCCCTTCCAGTGCTACCAGCTTGAAAGTGGTGGAAGCACTCTCATGGGTAATTGTGAACATTCATGAAGACAATCTGGGCCACAACTACTATTGCTACATTTAATCCTTGGCACAATTTTGTAAAATAAAGACTACTGTCATTCCCATGTGAGAGATGAGGCTCTGGGTGGGCAAGTTAAATCCAGACCCAACTGATTCCAGAGCCCACATTCAACTGGGGTCAGGGGTTCCACTTCATGCTGTCTCAATCAAACCAAGGCTTTCACCTGATGTGTGGTCGCAGAGGGTCTGCAAAATATGCTGGGCTGTTTTAGGCATTGAAACCCCACTTCAGTAAATTGCAGGGAACCTGCACAATCAAAGAGATGTCCCAGTCCCCAGTGGGAAAGTTTGAGCAGCTTCAATTAGAGAACAGTCACAGGTCATTGATGCCTGATATTCACAGGGGAACGGCTTTATTGGTTTATATGTAAAAAATGAGGAAAGGACCCAAACCTCAGCATCGGGGAAATGATGAAAGATGGAGAAGTTTTTCCAAAGTGAGGCTAAGCAAAAGGTCAGTTCTACTGGGGGCAGGGTAGGAGCAGGGAACAGTAAGCAAGCAGCTGAGAAATATTTGTGGCACCAGGGAGAAGAGGTTGTGATATCCACTAAAGGAAACCATGGCTATGGATTTCAGGGCATCGAGACCCTGTCAACACAGCTAATCCCCACGGATGTTGGCTGAATAAGCCCTCAATGACCAAAGAGTGCACTGTGGAAACCATGTCGGCCTCCAGCAGGCCAATTTGTCCTCATATTACACACTTTGTTGGCTCTGTTGCTAGACCCCCAGATTGAGGATCCATGTCGAGAGTTCCCCCACCAAATGAGGGTTGACACAGCATGCTTAATAAGTCAACAGAATGCAGAAGCCACGACCGGATTAAGAAGGCCGTTTTATTTTGGTGCCCTGGACCTCAAGCAGATTAAATAATCAAAAAGACTGAGCCATCGGGGTCATGTTTGAATGCTACAGCTGTTCCCTAAGGTCTGACAAACATTCTTTATGTGGCTGGCTGGCTGAATGGGAAAGGCAGGGATGATCTCAGGGAGGCCGACACTTTAAGAAAGAAGCGAGGGACCATCAAAAGATCATTTTATGGAAACCGATCCCAGCCAGATGGAGACAAGGGGACAGGCTGCTTAAATAAGTGGTCTACTGAAAGCGAGAACTGTTTTCTGCATCGGGAGAAAGCACAAGCAGGATTCAGAAAAAGTGAATGAAAAGTCTGCCATGCCCTCAGTTTGTTGATCCGCGAATTAATAAGGGTTGGCTACGTATTCAGCAAGGACGCTTGCTCTCGTGGAGATTCAGCCATGAAAGGTGAGCTGGGATGAATTCTTTCACCCCCTACTAAAGTTGCCCACTGAGAGAGGGAGGGGAGCCCCCTCTGAAAGGCGCCCGTAGGGAAATCTATTTTCAAGCTGTCTTTCTTAGACGATCAGACAGATGTAAAAAAAGTATCTCTGAATGAGAAGATTTATGTTTTCACCACATAGGGTGCAGAGGAAGGGGCTGGAGAAAAATGTATGTAGCCATGATGTGAATGTGTACTTGGCATGTCACAGACCATTTCATGCAAAACATGGTGCTTGGAGTTGGAGTTCATATATTACTCCCTTTAGGTCAGGGGTGGAACCAAAGAAAGAATGAGCAAACTGGCTCCAATCTCAGAAAGACAAGCTTGTCATTAATAGATTAGCAGATTCTGGGGAAAACATATTCTCTGGTTTAAGAACTGGTTTCCTGCAACTAATTAATGGTTGAGCACCAAGCTAAAGTGAAGGGGATTCAGTTCATTTCCAATGGGAAGACATTTTGACTTTGAAAGGAGTCATTTAGACAGTTGCAAAATTGTAGAAAGGAAAAAAAGAATTGTACTCTTTTTATTTTGGAGGGAACCGTTCTGCATCTCTTGAACTAAGTTAAACCGACAGCATCTTGTTGGGAAGGCTCCCCACATCTTTCCCATGGTCCTATGGTACTGTCAGCCATGGGAATTAGGAACAAGGGGGTTGGGCTCCAGGGCATTTCACATATGGAAGGTCCCAAACAAACAAATAAACAATCTCCCTCGAGTTTTCATCATGAGTAGATAACTATTTCGAGTTTTGAAAATCATCACGTGGCCTTAATAATTCGTCTACCAATTTAACAAAATGTCCTTGACACATGTTTGCCATATTCTGAAATTTAAGTCTCAAGAAAAAAGAAGGGTGATACAGTGACTTTGGAAAATGATCTAGCAGTATCTAAGAAAATGTAAATCTGTGTTTCTCTCTGAGCCCTACAAGGAGACTCCTCTTGAGTCCAGGGACTCTCTGCCACATTCCCACACTGCCAAGGAACTCAGGACAAGGGTGCTCTTTGCAGCATGACTTATCATGAAGCAGGGGAAAAGCCCACAGCAGCTCAAATGTTCCTTAGTAAGGGGGTAAATAAACATTAAATTTGACATGGCTTTACTATGGAATACCCCATAACAGTTAAAAGGAATGAATATGTTTTCTATGTATCTATGTGGATACAAGAGTTTTGAGTGAATAGAACAGATTGAGAATGAGACATACTGATGGTCACATTTATGTGGATTTAATAATAAAACTACTATGCAAATCTGTGTGTGTGTGTGTGTGAAAATCACAGGCTCTGAAGGGAGACTGTCTGGGTTCAAATCATGGCTCTACTGTTTACTATCTGTGTAACCTGTGACAAGTTATTTAGCTTCTCTGTGCCTCAGTTTCCTCACCATTAAAAGGATGAAGATAATACCACTATATTTACATGGTTGTGAGGAGTGGTTCAAGTATAAAGCAATGAGAGTGATCCTGACGCAAAATGCATGCTACATGGTTATTTGCTCTTGCTGTCCTTTTTAACTATTGTTTTTAGCACATCTGGAGAGATACATCAGTAATGACAGGAAAAGGGATTCATGTTAGAAAAAAAACTGTAACTTGAACAGTAATTAAGGGAATTTAATAGCATTGCTATTTTTAGTGAAAAGAAAAAGATGGTGGAAGTCTGATAATCTGTGGATGACAAGCATAATCATTACAGGAACATGGATATTTATTACATTATTCTTAATGCTTTCTCTATTTAAAAAATTTCCTGAATAAAAAAGGAGTAGAGACAACCATGATTCATGGGATTACACCTATAACTATGCATATCAATTTGTAGAACCTGCCTCAGTCAATACACCAACCACTAGCCATGTGTGACCATGTCAATGTAAGTTAACTAAAATTAAATGCAAATAAAACTTCAGTTCCTTGGTTGCAGTGGTCACATTTCAGGGGTTGGTGACTCCCAAATTGGACAACAGATACAGACTATTCCTATCATCATGAAAAGTAAGCATATATTCCAGAAATGTGAATACCTATAATCCTCTGCCACTCTCTACATGTCAAACTGTACATAATTCAGCTGTGCCCTATAAAGACCATGTGCTCCCAAAAGATTTTTTTCTATGTGATATTGTTAAGTCTTCCACCATCTGATTACTGAGGCACTGAGTAATCAGATCTTTTCCAAGGCTGCCAACAATAGCCAGCACAACAGTGGTGACAGTTATTGCACAGATGTACTCAGTCCATCCTCATTCTGCTAAAGAAAGTGAATGATACAATCTCTCTTCTAGGTGGTACAAGTGTTACCTGGTCAGAATTACATTGCCTGTGAATTCACAGGGAGGTAGGTAGGGATGCTGACCCCTCCTCATACACTATCCCTTGCCCCATTTCTGTTTGTCCTAGGTACACTGTTGCTTTCCAGTGCGATTTTCCTGCTCCAGGGGGTGTGCAGCTGCCCAGAGAAGTGCTTCTGTCACACATCTTCAAACTCTGTAGACTGCAGCCACCAGGGGCTGGCTGAAATCCCTCCAAATCTGCCTCCAGAGACTCTAACACTGCTCTTACAAGACAACCAGATTCGTCAGCTTCCTGTTTTTGCATTTCAGTCAGTGCCACAGCTCAGGACTTTAAATTTGTCTAACAATTCCCTTTCAAATTTGGCCCCTGAAGCTTTCTACGGACTTCAGCATTTGCAGGTTTTGAACCTAACCCAGAACCCCCTGCTTTCCCTGGAAAGCAGACTTTTCCATGCCCTCCCCAAGCTGAGAGAGCTGGACTTGTCATCAAACAACATAAGCCACCTTCCCACATCCCTTGGAGAGTTTTGGGAGAACTTAACCATGTTTGCAGTGCAAGGAAACCAGCTTCAGCACCTCGATCGTGCCCTGCTAGAGTCCATGCCCGGAGTGAAGCTGTTATTTCTCAAAGACAACAACTGGAAATGCAATTGCCACTTGCTCGGCCTGAAACTCTGGCTGGAGAAATTTATCTATGAAGGTCAGTGATGTCTCCTTGGAACCCTCAATTTGTGAATCACCAGCCTAGGATGAGCCTTTCCTATTCTCTGCATCAGTAAGAATGGTGAGGAGGGGGTAAGGGGAAGCTGTAAGCTTTTCCATATTGATGTTGTTTCATGGCACAGCCAAAGAGCCAGGTGAGCCATTAAAGGGTGCTTCCACTCAGGTATTTATGTTCATCTACAGATATTATGCAGGGAGATAACTTTCTACTTGTTGGATGAACAAGTAAAAGTAACATGAACTATGTCCTCAAGAAGGAGGAACCTCAGTCACCCCCTAATGACTGCTCAACCCCAAAACAGTATCAGACTCTGACTTTCAAGTGTGATCCAGTTGGGGGCATGGTTCTCCTTTCCTTCTTTGGCTGCTTCTTCCCATTTGACAGCTATAAATATTCCCTGAAATAATCCCTTGTGCTTAGCAAATGCTAATATTACTGAAATTGGCCTCTTTCTAGCATTACTATTTCTTTAACCAGAGGCCAAAAGTCAAGAAAGACAGCGTAGAATATTAAAGAGATCACCTAGGGGTGAGCCCAATGGTCAAATCCAGCCTCTGTCTTTTATATTTTTTGTAAATAAAGTTTTACTAGAACACAGCTATGCCCATTCATTATCCACCATGTAGCTGCTTTGCACAATATGGTAAGGGTGAGTACTTGTGACACATATTGTGTGGTAAAGCTTATAATATTTACTATCTGGCCCTTCAGGGAAAAGTTTGACCACTCCTGTTATCAATGGAAATGGGAGCCCAGAGATGTCCCCTGACTTACCCCAGATCACAGAGTAGAAGCACAGATGAGACTAGAAAGCATGGCTTTTCAGCCTTTGCCCTAAATTCTTTTGTGTACCTCATAGTGCTTCTCTGATTGTTATCCATTCAGTCCTCCCTTGGGTACTATTTTAGGTACTGAGAAAAGCACAGTGAACAAGAAAATCCTCATCATCACAAATTACACTACAGTATAGAAACAGATAAAGATTAATGTTCAGTCAGCTATAGTATGGAGACAATGAGACAGGAGAAGTATAGAGAGTGTAATGGAATGGAGGCCCTCTATTAAACAGGATGAGCAGGAGAGGTCTCTCCAAGAAGGTGACATGGGCGAACAATGAGGAAGAATGAGCCAGGAGATAACTGAGGGAAGGGACGGCAAGTACAAAGGGACTGATAAAACAAGTAGCTTGGCTTGGTGAGGGACAGAGAAAGGAAGAAGGGAAGGCTAGAACAGAGACAGTGAGAGAGTAGGCAGAGATCATATGAACCTAAGAATTCAGGGGCCAGGCCATGTGGCATCAAAAAGGCTCCAATGTTCAGATTTATTCTAAGTGGCATGAAAAGCTGAGGAATTTTTGTTCAGGGAATAATATAATCAGATTACAATATAAAAGGTAACTCTGGTGACTCCTGGGAGAACAAACCAAAGATGCAGAAGAAGAGCCAGAGAGATGAAGAAGGTGATTTCAGCTAGCCAAGTAAGAGATGACGGTGGCCTACCCTAGGATGATGAGAAGTGATCAAATTGAGGAGACATTTTGAATAGTGAACTGATTACTAACGGCTCGAGTGGGAAATTCCACTTTGTTTAGTTCTGCAGGAATAGTAGTGGTATAAATGGTGATGCTGTTAGCAGACAGTAAGTGTGTGGGAGGTGTTCAGTCATGAGTTCAGTCTGGAGCACATTTGAGATGCTTGTTAGATATCCCAGGGGAGCTGCATTGGTTGTGTATTTCAGCCCATTGCTCAGTAAGACATGAGAGCTGCAGACAAAGATTATTGAACCAACAGAGTCTGGCTGGTTGCATCAGGTGTCATAGGAAGCAAGTTAGATACAGCAGGAATTCAAATAAATAATATCAAATTAAGAAACTTCTCAACAATATCATAGCAAATAAAGTATCACTAACTAGGTAATGTGCAAGTTAGCCAATGACAGCAGCCATGTAATGTGCAAGACACTTGTGTTTCAGATGAAATCGTAGGCATAAACCAGACCTTCACAGAAAGAGAGTTTTCATCAAAAAGAACATTTCTTAATGTAAAAAAAAAAAAATTATTTCCAGGCCCAGGACATTTGAAGCAATGTGGAAGGGATGAAGTTCCTCTACTTAGCCATAAACTTGCCAGTGGTCTCTCAGTGAATTAATGCCATTCGCTAGCATTCTGCGTCAACAGATAGAAACTGATGGCATTAAGGCCCATTTCAACCCTTGGATTCAGTGACGTACTTCACTCCTCCCGCATGGCAGAGCTGCCAGAGCACAGAGGAAGGTGAATCAATTTGAGGCTACTGGATATCCCACAGTGACTAGAAAAAAAATCCCCAAATATATGCTAAATATGGAGACACTCTGTTTGTGGATACATTGCATAAAAGTAAAATAAGGAAACAGATGTTAGTCAATCCCTTCATAAACAAATGAAACAGTAAAGGTATTAGTCTAGGAAGGCTAACTAATATCACAGACAACACTGGACCTCAGTCATACATACAGTAAGTCTATTGCTCACTCATGATGAGTTCAAGGGCACTGGGGCAAGGTCTGCATTCTATGCAGTCATTCAGGAATATAAGCCCCTTCCAACTTGTGATGTCACTGACTTCACCATATGGCTCTCAAGGTCACTACCAAAAGGGAATACAGCACACAGAGGACCATGCTGGGGATTTTGTGTCCTGGAAGTGGCATTCTTGATTCTGTTGGCCAAAACTCAGTCATGTGACCCCAAACTCATCACAAAGAATGGGAAAATCTAGTTTTCCAAGGGGCCTGTGGACAAAAAAGATGTTTTGGTGAAGATGTGATAGTAGTTCCTGTATAAAAACAGGTGCATAGACTCTGTAATGAATAGTCCTCTTCATTCATGTGTGAACCTGAGCATGGTAATGATATAAATTGTCTTTGTGCTCAAGGCCAAGTAGTAAACATTTAGTTTAGCCAGGTATTGCGCTAAATACCTGCCCCACTGTACCCACCTGTATCCTCAGAGCAATCTGGGGAGGTGAATTTTATAATCACCCCCCTCTCCCACTTCCTGGAAGTGCAGGTAGAGGCCCTGCGTGGCTAAGGAGTTTTTCCTGGGTTTCGCAACTAAGTAATATGCAGACTCAAGATTTTAATGCAGTTTCTTCTCAGACAGAGGTTAAGAGCTACTCGTGGTCAGGTAGGGGTCATTGAGTGCTGGGCAAACTGATCTAAATCAAGAAGGGAGTGGACTCTCACACTGTAATCAGAAGATTTGTCGCTGGGTCACAGTCCCAAGATGGTGGTGGAGGAGTGAGACTGGATGCTGGCCAAGGACACAGCTGCATAGAAGGCCATGGAGTTCTTGGCAGTCACAGCCCCTGCCTTTCTGCCATGTCTCAGCATCCAGTGTGTTTATCTCCTTTGTTCTGGACCCTAAGGCTGTAGATTCTAATATTGAAAATCAGGGAGCACGGGACCAGAGATAGGCGGCTCTGAAGCTTGGAGTGATTGAGCAAGCCACCCCAAACTAAGTATAAGTCACCTGATGAAATTGCTCGTCCTCTAGCAGGTAGCCTTCTCCCCTGGGTGGAAGTCTCAGTGTTTTTTTGCTAGATTAAATAGCCTTACTACACCTCATAGCTTTATTTCTGTCTCTCTGGCTTCTGCCTTTCAACAAATTCCCCAGGAGAGACTCCAATGGCCAGGTGCAGAGGACTTAATCTCAGTGCAGCTGGATGGCAACCTGGGCTTACCAGGAGCACCACCTTGCACTTCTGGCTTCATGAAAATCAATGGCTCAGGAAATTCCTCCTTACTCGTTTGCTTTAGAGTTGGGACTCTTGCCTCCAAGGATTGCTAAAGAAGTTAGGAAGGGCAGAAGAGACTCTGATGGTAGGTGACTAAGTTTTAAGAAGTGGTAGCCAAAGGGAATGGGTTGGACTTTGCCAATGCCACTAACCTTCCTGTTTCTGGGCCACGTGACAGCCCTTGCACTGTTGAGTGGGCCTATCTACTTACAGACCACATAAGGCTTGTTTTGAGAGGATTAGGCAGACTAGATGTGAGCGCATCCTCCAAACTCTATGCACTATGTAACAGACAGTGCCCATGACATTGAAGTAATGACCTCCGCATTTGTCTCTGACAAAATTTTACAACCCATCTACTGTGTGTACCAAGATCGCCAGTCTGAGTTTTGTCAGGGTGGTATCGATCTTCCCAGCTATCCTGAGGGAGTTGTTCATGGCAGGAGAACCAAGCCACAGGTCATGGGTGGGGGAACTGCCCAGTCTAAGAGCTTTAGAAGGGCTATCTTGCCACTCTCCTGGCCTCAGGACACCCTGGAAAGAAGGAAGTTGAGAGAGGCAACAAGTATAATGGGAAAAACTTTGAAGCAAGAGGGCTGGGTTTGGGTATTGATTTGTCCACTTCTGAACTATGTGATTTGCAAAACAATTAAATATTTTAATGGAGTGTAAAGGCCCAACAACGCTTTTTTTTTGTGGTACTAGGGTTTGAACTCAGGGCCTACACTTTGAGTCACTCCATGAGCCCATTTTTATGATGAGTAAGACATGAACCACTGGTGCCTGGACCAATAATACTTTGTGAACTGATAAGTCAGATACAAATATGTGTTGGTAGCACTGGGTTTTGAATTCAGGGCATTATACTTGCTAGGTAGGCACTCTTACCACTTGAGTCACTCCACTAGCCCTATAAATATTAGGTTTTTAGTCCAGCTAGGCCAGGATGAATAATGTGAGCAGAATGTTGTTTCTAGAAAGATTACTAAGCACCTAAGTCCTCCCGAGCCACAGAAGCCTACACACCCAAGGAAATTAATTACCTTTCAGGGAATGGAAACTGCATTTAATAATTCATTGGAAAGTTCAGTACTCAAATGTAGTAAATGTTTTGAGGCCTGAGGTGACATGCTAATTATACTTAATCCCATGAACTAAACAAATAGTATTGTTGAATCCTCGGATATACAAAACACTCAAAAGACCATTCCACCTCTTCATTTGGCATCACTGAAGTGTTGGTAGACACATGGGGGTCTTTGTAATTAATGCAAAACATCACAACAATGGACATTTGTTTTATGCTTTCTTAGATTTCCAATGGGGATCTGGCACAAAAGAGTTCTTGTCTGGTGGGACTCATTAGGGGAGTGGGCAGCAGGAATGCTGGGGGCTACAGTACGCTTGGTGTTGGCCCCCAATGCTACTTCTTCTCAGCTTTGGCATTGTTTTTTCTCTCGTATTTGTATAATGGAAAGGTAACCTGGCTTCTAATGAATTCTTGGTCATAAGTAATTGCCTATTTAGTGTGTGGCATTTTTAGTATTTAGCCAATTTAGAAATCCTAAAATCATAAAATATGGTTGTTAAATTCTTTGACTCCAGGGGAAGAAAAGGTACTTTATAAATTCCATCTGCTCAAGTTTTTGCAGGCTGAGGATTTTGGAACTCAGTTGTATCAAAGGTCTGTTATCATCCTTTGCTTTTGTTTTTTGAAGGAGGAACAACAGATGGGATCATATGTGGGTCACCTGACACCTGGAAGGGAAAGGATCTCCTTACAATCCCTCATGAGCTGTACCAGCCCTGCCCTCATTCTTCTCCAGATCTGGCATCATCCTCACAGGACCAGCACCCTGGCAGTGAGGAGGTCCCGAAGTCTTCTGAGAACCACAGCTTGGGGCAGCAAGACCTCTTGGAGTGTGAGGCCAAACCCAAGCCTAGGCCAGCCAGCCTGCGCCATGCCGTGGCTACTGTAGTCATCACCGGGGTTGTATGTGGGATTGTGTGTCTCATGATGTTGACAGCCGCCATCTATGGCTGTACCTACGCAGCTATCACAGCCCAGTGCAATGGTGGACCCTTGTCTCAAACCAGTGACTCTGGGAAGAAGGGAGGAAAAGAGCTATTTGACAGCTCACCAGCTTGAGAGCTTTGATTTCAAAGAGGATTGATCATTGTGGGCCAGAAGAAATGTTTGAATAGGGCTGATATGTTCACATTCGTGTCTCATTTTGTTTCTTTCCAAAAGAAGACAAAAAGATGAATTTGTAAAAAAAAATATTCCTGGGAAGAAATTTATGTTGAAAAATTTAAAGTACCATAAATGAACAGAGATGATGCTTGTACCCTGTGCGCGAGAAGTCATGACAATGATTCTCCACGGTGTGGGGGGCACACAGAGAGAGGGAAGATGCCATGTCTTCCAGGTACCCTTCCTTGGATTCAGTTGCTTTCGCAACACAACAAGAACTCCAGCTGGTGTGCCAATTGGCATTCCTGTGAACTTTAGGGTCCCCTGGAAAACTGCCTGAGTTTGAGTGTCTGGAAAGAGGTGGGTGATCTTACCCAAGGGACACTTTACATCTCTAGAATTCAAGTTCATGCGAGATCACTGGTACTTTTAGATGTTGTGTCTGTTATATATTTAATAGGAGCATCTGTTGGTTGGGAATTTCATAGCTTGCCACAAGAGTCAGATTATACTTAATTTTCTAAATCAGAAAACTATTTGGGGCTTTCTAGGCTGCAGAGGAAGAGAAAAGTTCCATGTCTGGATAATAGGACTCAGGCCCAGAGTCTGGGGAAGTGTTTTGATACAAAGGTAAAGAACACATAAGCAAACACAAAGACGATGGGGAACCAGAATTGAGGGACGATACTACCAAAAGGCTATATCCACCAAGTGATTAGAACCTTCCATTTATAATGATCACAGCAGGAATGAATTTAGGCTAGACTGCATGCGAGGTAATGACTTTTGTGTATCTGCATCTACATCCATAGCATACAGAGTGCATGGACTCGTACAACCACACCCACATATAAACACACTCAGAGCAATCAGTTTACCCACTAATGAAATGCAGCCGTGTCAGGGTGGGAGCCAGCAGCTGTTGATCACCACCCAGATTGTCTACTCAACACTCTGGGATAGGAAGTAAGAAGGAATCCTGAAGAAAGTGGGAATTACCACGAGACTCGAGATACGTGGTGGCAGCCATCCTGAACATTACTGAAGTGTGGTTTTTTAAAAATCAGGTGTGGCTTGCTTAGTCTACAGACATGGTCTTGAAGAGTTGCATGCCAAGTGAATTTTTGTAAATTGAATCATCATTTTAATGCAGTAGGGGAGTTCACTATTTAAAGGAACCTTTCATGGAGTCTTTCTGTAATGGAAATAATTGGCTCCAGATTTATGCATTTTGCAAATCTGCATTTTCTCATGCTAGGTTTGCTTAAAGTGGAATATATCTGTTCTCTCTCAGCTTATACTTACAGTCACTTTTTGGGACTAAAATTATTTTACAAAGAAAGAGAGAGGAGTTAAGGACATGTTAAAAGTAGAAAATGGGAAATACTGGGCAAGCTGTCCCTCCAAAGGTCATGACAGACATTGATAATCAATCCCAGCATTCCTCCCAGCTGAGCCCCAATGTACCACAGATGGTTTCTTCAGACAGTACTGTAGGCACCAGAACTAATCAATTGGAATTGGTTCAAAGGATAAAGCACATTTGCTACTCAGGGTACTGGATCTACATTCACCCCTTAATGCTGCATAAAACTTGGTTTGGATCTTAAGTCAATAGTCTCTTTCCTAATTGGAATGTGAATGGAAGGTTTGCACACGCATGGGATGGACAGAGGTAGCTCCAGCCTTGCCCAACAGTGTAAAGAAGCTATAAGGAAACAGAGGCATCTTTCACATCCTACTTTGCAGGACTCAGACTGGTGCACCTCCAAACATCACAGAGGTAGTCCACACCTGCCCATGGTGCGTTATGACTAGGGTGAGCCCTATACACTCACATGCTAAAGATGGGCCATCCTTTTGGAGAAGCAATTTTGCTAGATGATATTTCTGAGGGAAAATTTTAAACATGGATGGTCAGATTTTTTTCTGAATATTACTATATACATAGATACATTAAAGAGTCAATCAAGAGGCATGATATATGCATTTATGGAAACGTCACAGCCTATCCTTTAATATGCATTAATAATTACAATTTTAAAGACTAGATCAAAAAGAGACCCCCAGGGAAAGCTTGCTGTATAAGTTCCAGCTCAGGCTGAGGCACCTCCCCTCTGCTCTGCCATGTGGGCCACCTCAGTGGGTACATGGCTGAGCTCCTGCTCTAAGGATGTAGCAACTACTTTCCAGGTGAAAAACAAAACAAAACAAAACAAAACAAACAAAATCTTTCCATTGTCTTAAATTGTGACTTCTTGGCCAAAAATGCAATATGAGAAAAGAAATTTAGACGATCTTTTGATTTTTCATCCCAATTTCACCAAATGTCTTCAAGTTCACACTGTGTACCAGGCATGGTGCAGGGTGTTCTTCTGAGCATTCTTCATGTAATACTTATCTCCACTCCATGAGATACTTGAACTGATATCACTTAAGCTGGAAACTACCAAAGCCAACAACACATGCTTCCTCTAACTATAGTGATTTAAGACTGCAAATGCACTGTACCCTGCCAAGGGTTTGGTGACACTGCAGGTCAACTTGTCACCCCCCACCCCCTGCACTCCCTGTAGAAATTACATGAGAGAGCTTCCAGTATCTGCAGAAAACCAGAATGTGGCTGAAATACTCACTTGTCAACACCCATATCCTATTAGATTTCTAAGTACAGATGATAACTCAGGCAAAGAGACTTCTAGCTTTATTGATAGTCTTTAAGGAAACTGATTAAAGTGATGGATACATACATTCAGATTTCTATCTTTGCCTACAGTCACTGAAAACAGCAGTTGGCAATGAAAATAATGACTTATCCTGCAATGTCAACAGCTTCACAGTGTAGAAAAATATAAATCAAATTGTTTAGATTAACAAATGCAGAGTTATCATTTGTTAATATGGGAAATGAAACATTTTAACTGTAAAAAAAACTGCAGATGAAAAGACCCAATTTGCAGGGTATTCTGTGAGAACCACAAATTATCTTTCACAACCACTATAGCTCATGAGGGGTAATTTGCAAATGCCTCATAGATTATTTTCAGCTGTTTATTGCTGCTGTCATATTCATAGATTTCATATAAAAATATCCTTCCATCAAAGACTATGTGGAAGGAACACTGAGGACAAAAAGTCATATTTAGTGCTGATTACTTCTGAGAAAATCATCTAAAATAGTTTGTCCACTGAACTTAGTGTAACAGGTCTGACTTTAGACAGGTAATGTTGCCTCTGTCAAAGATCACAAACTTACAAACAGACAACTGTAGCATCTGTAATGAGGCACATAAGGAAAGGCAAGGAAGAATGTACCCTGCCATAGAAATTTTGGAGGAAAAATATCTAGCATCAAAACCACACCTGAAAAGCTTTTACAATTTGGGCAAATGTCCCTGGCCCTATGGGAAGAATCTTGTGCTTAAAATTATAACTGAGTATCTTCTGTTTCCTTACAAAAATGGAAGACTGAGAGGGAGCGGCAAGATGGTGGATTGTTGGCATTCCTATAGCCCAGAGCAACTAACTACCCTGAAAAAGGAAGATCAGAGGACCCCAAAAGGCACTCAGAGGGTCCCATAACCAGTGAGAAGCAAAGCCCTCTCTGTATCCACAAATACATGGGTACCAATGGGAAGAACAACTCACGGCTGAAAACTCCTGATCCTCAGTTCCTGAAGTCTCCATGCAGCTCCAGGCAACATTACTCTGTGTGCTTGGCAGTAATTCCTGCTTCCTGGCACACACAGGAACTTGGAGCTCAACGCTCCCTCCTACTACATGAGCTCCTGCTACCTGCACCCTGAAGCACCAGGGAACCAGTGCCCCTGTGTAAGCAGGACCCATGGTTCCTACTGTTCCACAGGTAACAGAGGTGCAAGCCAGCAGTCTTGAGGGAGTGGTGCTCCCTCAAGACAGCAGCAGCACCACTGTCCTGCATTCCCTGAAGTCCATGTGGCAGTCAGGCCCCAGAACTCCTGTCACCTGCAGGCTTGGCTCCCCTGTGCCAGCAGCAGCTGCTGTGGCTCCTAGCAGTCTGCACCAGTAAGCAGCCCCAGGGCTCTTGCTGCCTGCAGGCTTGGTTCCCCCAAACTGGAAGCAGTGCCACTGGACTGTGCTTATGGAAGCCTGGGCAGGCAATTAAGTCCCAGAACTCCTGCTGCCCACAGCCTTGGTTCCCCCAAGCTGGCAGCAGCTACTGTGGCTCCAGGTAACCTGCAAGTAGGCCCCAGGACTCCACTACCTGAAGGCTTGGTTCCCCCATGCCTGTAGTGCTACTGCACTGCTCTCCTGGAGTCCATGCCTGGAAAGTGGGTTCCAGAACTCCCACTGCCTGAAGGCTTGGTTCCCCCAAGCCTACAGCAGTTGCTGTGGCTCCTGGTAGCCTGGCACCAGCAAGTAGGCCTCAGAGCTCTTGCGGTCTGCAGACTTGGGTCCCCCTTGCCTGCAGCAGCAGTTGTGGCTCCTGGAAGCCTGGGTCCCAACACAAGTAGACCCCAGGGCCTCCACTGCCTTGTGAACACCAGATGATTCAAGCCTGTTGGCTTTGCTGCCCCATGGGTACCTGTAACTTGCTACTCAGTACCAGGAGCCCACTACCACACATCTTCTAAGTAACCCCAGGCTCCAGGCTTTGCTATTCTGCTGGCACCAGAAGGCCTCCCTCCCCACAGAGCATGGAGGCCCAGCACTCCCCACTGTCCCTGACAACAAGAGAGCCCTTGCTCTTCCACTCCTCTGTCAAAGAGTGAGAATGCCAGATTCCCCACTGAGGGGAGGAAAGCATAACCTGCTACTCTGAAGGCAGCACCAGAAACCCTGTTTCCCCAAGTACACAGAAGCCCAGGGATTCACACTGTGCCTTTCTGTAGGAGAGCCACTTCTCTCCTGTCCAAGAGCTGGAATCCCAGCTCCTCCACTGAGTGGCAACCTGCTATTCTGCTGGTGCCCCCCACAGTGTACAGAGACCCAGTGCTCCCCACTTGTGAATGCAGAAGAGCCCCTATGCCCCCATCAAAGAACAAGAACTCAAGCCCCCTCATTGAGGAGAGAAAAAAGGTAATCTGCAACACAACAAGAACCCTTCAAGGGGCAACATATTCAGCATTCCCCTCTCTGAGGAATACTGCTGGAGCTCCAGGAGAAAAAACTCAAAACTCCAACTACAGGGGCACAAGGGATTAAAACCCTAACCAAAAACAACTCCAGCTGTGTAAATCTCAATGCAGAATGAAACAGCAAAACAACCGCTCCCCATCAAAAGCCAGTTTTACCACTAAGGATTGAAACACCTGCATAGAGAAAGAGTAATCAACTAATGAATTTCAAAAAAGAATAGTAAAAATGATTAACAACCTCAAAGAAGAAACACAAAAGTTAATATTTGACCTCAAAGAGGACATGAATAAACAATTAAATGAGCTCAAAGAGAATACAAACAAACAGAGGAATGAAATTAAGAAGACTATCCAAGATATGAAAGAAGAAATCTATAAAGATATGGAAACCCTGAAAAAAAAATCAATCCAAAATAAACAACTCAATATCCCAGATAAATATCACAATCGAAAGCTTGGTGAACAGCGTAGAACAAGTTGAAAATAGAGTATCAGGAATGGAAGACAAAGTAGAGGAATTAGACCAAACAGTAAAAGATCATGAAAGAATGCTAAGAAAACAGGAATGGAACATGCAAGATATCTGGGACACCATGAAAAGACCAAACCTATGAATCATGGGAGTAGAAGAAGAGGAGATACAAACTAAAGGTACTGACACCTATTCAATAGAATAATAGCTGAAAACTTCCTTAACCTTGAGAAAGAGAGTTAGCCAGGTGCAGGAAGTTTACAGAACACCAAACTGTCAGAACCAAAAAAGAATGCCCCCAGACACATCATAATCAAAACACTTAGCATACAGAACAAAGAAAGAATTCTGAAAGCTGCAAGTCACATATAAAGGCAAACCCATTCAAATAACAGCAGATTTCTCAAATCAAACTTGAAATGCAAGAAGGTCACGGAAAGAAAGCAACTGTCAACCTAGACTACTCTACCCAGCAAAACTATTCTTCCTATTTGAAGGAGAAATTAAAACC